CTGCTGAAATTCCAGCCTTCATACACGTTTGAAAGTTCAGGTGTAGGGTGCTTTTGTTGTTTTCTGAGGCTGTGCAAAAAATTCAAAGAGTTAAACCTCGAAAAAACCAAACCAATCATGCGGCTGGCCCTGATTCATCTGCCCTCTTCTGCTCAGAAACACAATCAGTGAGAATTAAAGCTGCGTTTAAATGCTCTGCTGAAGTGGATCTTAGTGAAGGGAGCAGAGAAAGCTGCTTTTCTGGAAGGGTAAAAGGCACACAGCCCCAGCCTGTCTCCGGAGACACTCACGCAGATGACACTGACCGCAGCAAGACATGTGCATGCGTGTCAACAGGCCTGGGACAGGTGTCGCTCCCAGAGACTTTCAAGCAGTGGCATACTTAGCAATGGCATAAGCTGGCTTGATGGATGCTTCTGTGCTCAGAGTTTTTAGTTACTGCGATGTGTAGGGGTTTGTTTCTGCTGCCACAACACGTACACTAACCCAGTACATTTACTGAAAGAAAATATGGTGAGCTAAAAGTTTTGGTGTGGAAACGTGGTTTAGCAGTTCTGTTGATTTTTCAGGTTGGAGAATGTGTTTTTCAAGGCCTGATTTTGTAAACCTTGTTTGTGTTGAGTGGCACTTAAGTAAGGCTTCCCTGATCCGGCAAAGCATTACTCCATGTGAATCACGCAAGGGGTGCCGTGCATGAGATTATCCAGGATCCATTTAACAGCCTGTGTCCCCGAGGCCTGATCCAAAGCCTGTTGACGTCAACGGAAACAAATTCATGGGCCTTAGTGGACTTCCAATGAGATCTATAATTTGAACCCCATGATCGCTTTGGAGCGCAGACAATCTTCTTACTCTTTTAGTACCGCAGGATCCTGGTTCACACCTGAGCCTCTGGTGCCGCTCCAGTGCGAAGTTACAGTAAGGCTGATGACGATGTTACATTTCTGTTAAGCTGTAATCTCTCTTCTACCCGAACAGCATATAAACAATGACCACATACACGGTGAGAAGAAAGAGTTTGTGTGCCGATGGCTGGACTGTTCCCGGGAGCAGAAACCGTTCAAAGCCCAGTATATGCTGGTGGTCCACATGAGGAGACATACAGGGGAAAAGCCACACAAATGCACTGTGAGTAAAGGGGACTGAGCCCCAGGCTCAGGCAGGGGAGCTGGGGCTGTGCAGGGAACAGAGTGGTGCAGATGCTGCGTTCTCTGATCCCTTGTCTGTCAGACATTTGTTGGAGAAGAGACTACCATGTCTGCTTCATTATCCAGCTCGCCCAGATGACAAGAGCTTTAGGAAAGAGGAGGCACTGGATAATTTGGCCCACTTCCTCAAGTTTAAAGTGCAAAGAAGGCCCAAAAGGCATTATTAAGCAGGGCTCAGTTTGCTTAATTATTTAAAAGCATTTTCTCTTACAGAGCTATGTCTGGGTATTATTGCTGGCCACCAGCCTCCTAATGACTTTGCAATGGATTTCTGTCTTAGAAAATATACACAAATACTGTGCTCCCCTGTAAGAGAAGATTTACATAATGCTGGAAGCATTTTAACTCGAGCTGTGACGGGGTTTGCCTGGGTAAAATTAAAATATGAAAAATCAAAACAAAATTATGTTGGGCAAGCTTATGAAGGCTTGGGATGTTGCTAAACTTTTATAGGTCAGCTTTTACTGTTTCCTGCAAATCCAAAGATTAAAAGTAATCCAGACTTACTTCTTGTCTGCAGTTTGAAGGTTGTACAAAGGCCTACTCCAGACTAGAAAACTTGAAAACGCACTTGAGATCTCACACTGGAGAGAAACCATATGTGTGTGAACACGAAGGCTGCAACAAAGCTTTCTCCAACGCATCCGACAGGGCCAAGCACCAAAACAGGACTCATTCCAATGAGGTAAGTAAGCATAGCTTCAAAAAAATAATAACATCTGGAGTCAAACAGACTTACAATGTGATCATAGCAATTTATTACAGAGGACGGGCACAGAAACCCTCAGCAACCTGAAAGGGATAAGTTCTAGATGGGTCTTACGAGCACAGTCACTCCAGTGTCATAGGGACCTAAAGAGGCTGTGGGTCGTTTTATTAAGTGTAAGAGAGTTTTAAAGGAGGAGTGATCTAATGGAAACACATGAGTTAAACCGGAGACAGATCCGAGCTGAAGCACTGGGGTTGTTCTCCCAGCCCCAGAGCTGGAGGGGCTGGTGCAGCCTCCCGAGTGTGTCCCCTCGCCTGGGCCGGTGGGGACACCTGGTGGCTGCACAGCGTCCTTCTCGGCTACTGCAGACAGCTACAGAGAAGTCTCCATGGTTTGGAAAGTCTAGGTTGCCCTCTAAGTTATGAGTTACACCTTTTCCTTCTTCTCTGGGCTTTTTCACTCTTTCCATCCTGAACAGACCTCACGGAGTAGTGATGCAGTGGAAGGAATTTGATCTCTCTCAAGCAAACCGGCTGTGGCAGTCACAGCCGTCTCCCATACTCTCAGTGTTAACACCTCTTTATTACTGTGTGTTTCCTGTTACTGCTGCCCCCTCTTTCAGGAATCACACCATCTTCATGCCCCGTCCTTGTTCTGTTGCCCCATTTCAGGTTACACAGGGAGTCACATCATCTCAGCCTCACATCTCGGAGCCCAGTCTCTCCTCCTTGAACTGTCCTTGTACCCCTTCTACTTTAGCCTAAAGTTGGAAGTACTGGAAAGGGAGGACATACCAGCATGGTGACTGTGTAGTGTGGAAAGCATAGCAGCTATATCCATTTCCACAGGGTTTGTATCCTGCTCTAGCTGCCTGTCAGGTCTGTTGCAGGCATTCATTTGGGCTGGCAAAATCTCCTGGGAGCATTCATCTTCCAGTCCCCTGGTCCCTGCAGCATCTCCTGAGTCACAAGGGAAGCAGAGAGCATTGCACATCTCTGAGTTCACCCCATCCCTGGAGTGTGTGCTCTCAGCAGCCCGACTAACAACAGCACTGAAGCCCAGCAGAAATTTTGTGAATTGTCACCAAGGTAGAAGGAAGTTCACCAAGTCTCGCCGACAGCTGACTGAGCTTTTTTTTTCATTCACTGTCTGAACCAATCTGTCACTTAGGTGATGCCTAAGATCCTCTCAAATTTAAAGACATGACCCCTACTGCCTGTGTTTTGAGATCAGGATTTCATGTCTAACAGTAAGTCACCAAGAAGAGGTTTCTGCTGTGCATCATTTCTGGTAGGTGCAGCAGCAAAGGCAAATGAAAAATTGCCTTCACCATTATTTCACAATGAAACAGGCTAATAGTCTTAGGCAATGTATACTGATGAGTGCCATGAATACTGTGGAAAGCACAGACCCAATTCAGCACTTCCTCGCAGTGCTATTTTTGGTTGTAAGTAGGTAACCTATAGACAGATTTAAAAGTAGCTGACGTATCTTGATGCAGATATGCTTTACGCTTGTAGAAGAGAGCTAACTTCCATAGCATCTTGAGAAAACCTGGCTCCGTAGCTCAGCATCAACTTTGAATTGCTCATGATCGACATTTTTGCTTCTATTCAAGTCAATAGGAGTGTTTTTCCACTGACATCAGTCAGGCTCAGGCCTTAGACAGCCATGAAGAAGCTACATTTGTCAAAGGCTCCACAGTGCCATGTGTAAGCAGACAGAGAACCCCTTTGAGGAACTCTGTGTGAGGGTCTCTTTTTGTTCTAGAGAACTGGTATAAATAACACTTTAAAATAGTAGTTTCTTGGGAACAATTCAGTAATAAAAGTGAGGGAACGATACTTTGTTTTCCAAGGCAGTTAAAGTGTTTAGGAAGAGCTCAACTCTTCTTTCTAATCCTCTCATAATACAAGAAAAAAGTCTTTGCTAAATTATAAGACAGTGAGTTTACTTTATTTTACATCGTTTAGTGAACTAGAGAAATGCACAGACAAAGAAAGTGGGTCTTAAAAAAAATGAGTGTTAGTTATGCTAGTAGCACTAATAGCACCAGATTATATGTTGCTGCAACATGAAAATGCTTATGGTACTGCATCCTGTGCTTAGACATTATACTGGTGATCTGAAGGAGCCAGGAAAAAAATGCTTCCTCAGCTAATCCTGGCTGAACAAATGTCCCAACATGTTTTGAAGGGGGTTGTTTGCCTCTGAATGTCAAGGAGTAAGTACTGGGCAGACTACAAACAGGGTATCAAACTGCTGAGGGCAATGGAGAGGACAGAAAATTAGGCCAGTCGTCATAAATTGCCATATCTCTGTTGACTCTTCTGTTATGACAAGTCAAAACTGTGCCAGTTCATATCATGAGAGACTCTGCCCTCTGCAAACTATGCAGCATTAATGGGTACCATCAAAACCAAGGGGAATTAATAGGTTTGACTAGGTCTGGTCACTGTAGAGACCATAAATTAGATAACAAATTCACTGTGAAAGCGTGTAACTGTAACACCAGCTGTGCTCCAAGGAGCTCTTCAGAAGTCCCACGTGGAATTAAATCTAATTTAAGTGTTTTTCCTGTCTTGGCAGAAACCATATGTTTGCAAGATACCGGGCTGCACAAAGCGCTACACAGACCCCAGTTCTCTCCGGAAACACGTGAAGACCGTGCATGGCCCGGAGGCACATGTCACCAAGAAGCAGCGGGGAGATATCCACCCGAGGCCTCCACCACCGAGAGACCCAGGCAGCCACTCTCAGACCCGGTCACCAGGCCATCAGACTCAGGGTGCAATTGGTGAGCAGAAGGACCTCAGCAACACTACCTCAAAGCGTGAAGAATGCCTCCAAGTGAAAGCGGTCAAGTCAGAAAAACCAATGGTATGCAATACACCGTGCCGCTCCCTTTGTCCTTTTTCTTCTTGCAACCAGTTAATAATGCCTTTATGAAATGCTCAAGCCTGTAAACTCTAGCTCACAAGGTTAGGTTTTGTGAGGTTTTCTTTTTCGTTTACATTGTAAAATGTTTTTAAAGCCTAAGAAATAGCAAATAGAAAGATTACATCTAGTCTGTGCAATATGCAGTAAGTGCAGTGTTGGCAACTGTCACAATAATTGTTTCTCTTAAAGCTTCATCTTTCGGAATCAGCATATTATGAGAAAATCACAGTTCTCATTTTTAAAAAGGCATTTTTTTCCACTCTCCTGTTTACAGAAGAGAGTTAGAGAATGTGAATCCTGGAGGCTCAAAACCAGAATGCGAAAAAAAACAGGTCCAAAAAACTAAAATGATGTTATAGATGATGATAATTTTTGGAGAACCTGGGGAAACAATCAGATTTTAGAGGCCCGAGATTGCCAAGTCATGGATCAAACTGAAGCGAGATAAATTGACTTTCTTAAAGAGCAGGAGGAGATCACAGAATCATAGAATGGTTTAGGTTGGAAGGGACCTTGAAGATCATTTACTTCCACCCCACTTGCCATGGGCAGGGATACCTCCCACTAGACCAGGTTGCTCAAAGCTCCATCCAGCCTGGCCTTGAACAATTCCAGGGATGGAGCTTCCAGAACTTTCCTGGGCAACCTTTTCCAGTGCCTCACCACCCTCATAGTGTAAAATTTCTTCATCTCTATTGTGATGTGACCTCTTATGTTAATCTGATACTTAATTTAACTTGACCAAGTTAACCTAATTCCAATTTAACTAAATTGAGCTGAATTAAGAGTCTCTGCAGGTCTTTTCACTGGTTTACCTTAATGTATTGCATGAAACCAGCATAACCTTGAATATTGAAAGGACCCTATTCCATCTTTTGACATGCTGTCTTAAATAAGTTCTTCGTTCACTTGCCTGCATTTTATATGCCATCCATCCTCTTCGCAAGGGTTAAAACTAGCAAAGGCAGTCACTCCATCCTTTTCCACATCTGGGTGTACAATTCATCTGGAGGCAACCCTTGGGGATTACAAATATGAGTCCTCCGAATTCTGCTCTTATTGTTAATCAAGCTGCAATTCAAAGTGATTACTCATTGAAATACAAGTTACTGCTACATTGTGCCTAAAGCTTATGCCCAAACTGTGGAGTATTAATCCTGAATTCAGAAACTTCCAAGGGTGCAGAGTTAACTCCCAGCGAAGTCTCAAGGAGGTCCTGTGCTATCTTTGGTGATGACTACCTTAGCTTACAAAGGAACAGAACCCTTTCCCCTCTTGCTTAGCTAGGTAAATCGGTAGTGTTATTGAGGCATGTTGAGCATAGACGGTTTTAACATGAATAAAATTTGCAGGAGTGGGGTATGAATGTTGACTGCTTACATAGTATTGAATATTTCTCACTGAAAAGTATCTTCTGAAAGCACTTCTGTATTTCCTGCTTTTCATTGTTTGTATGAATTAAGATATATTTTCTGTTTTTCAACTAATCCAATGTCTTTTCTGTCTAATGCTCTTAAATGTCTTGTTCTAACTTCCTAAGGACAGTGGGTAATAAGGTGAGGGCATTTTAACTTTTCTGGTGTTTTTGTTTTTGCAACATTATTTATGTCTTTATTTTAGCCTTCTGCCTGTTGTCCAATCGTTCCTTTATTTAGTAATGTGCAATCCATCAAGCTCATTCCCAAATGTAATGTGCTGTGAGCATTTTGCAACACTTGACATGTGAAAAATCTGGCTTACATTGGTGAAACGTCTTCAGAAATGTCTTTGTACCTTCCCCTCTAGATCAGACATGCATTTTTTTTTTCTGTATTGCACATCTAGAAATGTGTGTTCCCCATAATACCATTCTTACTTCTGTTACCTACCTCACTGTGATTTTGACACGTGGCTCCAAGAACAGGCTTTTGACCATTAGTACTCTTCTTCCATATGGCAAGGAGCTGTTGTCCAGAAGCACAGACTCTCTTCTGTGTAATAACATTTGTTTCTATTCTTGTCACCAAATCTGCCATGGCCAGGATTTGGAAATGAACATGCTCAGTGCGGCCTCGTAAATTTTAAGTATCATCGTTCAAGTTAGAAATAATAAAATAGTTATTGCATCTTAATGGACTCCTCGGGGGCATATGAAGCTACAGTATTGCCATGAATCTGTGTCTTCATTCACTCATGTTAAGAGTGAGAGCCGTCACTGCTACCTCAGAAATTCTAGCCAGCATTTGTCAGTAAAATGTGCAAAAACATCACAGGCTGGCAGGCAAAAAATAATTTAAAAAAAACAACATAAACCCCAAAAGTGAAATACTTACATGAAACTGTTCTTGGGAGCAAAATGATACTGCATGCCTCACAGATTTGTGATCACACTGATACAACCTATAGTAAGATACTACATCCAGAGACTTTTGCCTGTCATGCTGTCTGTTTCATCTGTCAGTCTATCTGTCTGAGTGCTCCAGTTTGTCAGAGAAATTTTCCCATTCTTTTATGAGAACTTTATGAATATAAAAAATAAATCAAGGCCGTGTTTCCCCACAGCAAGAATTCTGCTAGAGCAGCAGGGAACACTGTCTGTTAAGAAAGAAGGAGCCATTGCGGCGGTTTATATCCCTGTAGATTAGCAAGCTGTAGTGTGTACTTAAATTCTTAAATTTAAATTCTTAAATTCTAATGAAACGAAGGATGTGATTCAGTAGATCATCGCCTCCTTGATTCGGGGCAGAGGTGCTATAAGTCAGAGCGTGCTGCTAGGGTCCCAGGACGCTGATAATATGATACAGTATTTTTGCACTGATGCTTTGTTCCTGTTTTGTTACATGCCAACATTTCAGGCCAACCGCTGCTCGTAACAATGAGCCTTAAGCTTGGAAAATACTTACATTCTTCAGCCGCAAGTCTAATTAAAAAAACCCAAATTCCAGTGTTGTTGGAGTCTTGTTTGTTTGCTTGCTTGCTTCAAGCCTAGCAGTGTAAATTAGACCTCGTTACGTGGCTGAGTTCTGATTTGGTTTATTGACCCGAAGTTTCAGCTGGGAACAGCGCATACCCAAAATAGAGTATCCATACATATGTGCTCACGAGTGAGATGAAGTGATAGAAGCAATTACGGGAATAACTGAAATAAATGTCTCATGTGGATATAGTGTATACAATCAGCAAGGTATTAAAGTGGATTTTAATCATGAGTTTTGCAATTGCATTCATTGCAGTTAAAATCAAGTTTCTAGAAAGCTTCTTAATGAATGATCATCATTTAATGCTCAACTTTTCTTCACATTTGGTTTTCTTTGCCTCCATTTAGACCTGCATTTGCTGCAAGTTCTTTGTTAATGTTGTTTGCTTAATCCTCACGTTCTTTTGTTTCTTACTTCAACAGACATCTCAGCCAAGCCCTGGTGGTCAGTCTACATGCAGCAGCGAACAGTCCCCCATCAGCAACTATTCCAACAATGGGATCGAGCTTACTCTGACTGGTGGTGGTAGTGTAGGAGACCTCAGTGTCATCGATGAAACCCCAATCATGGACTCTACCATTTCCACAGCCACCACAGCACTTGGCTTACAGGCCAGGAGGAATATGACAGGGACCAAATGGATGGAGCAAGTGAAATTAGAAAGGTTGAAACAAGTTAATGGAATGCTTCCAAGACTGAACCCCGTTCCACCTTCCAAAGCCCCGACCTTGCCGCCTCTCATAGGAAATGGTGAGATACACATAACAGGAGTGGTAACACTTTTTGTCCTTAAATTCGTTGCTTGCTAGCTCAATCTTGCAACCCTTGCAAAAGAGTAGTGCAGCTTATGAAACTCAGCAGCTGTGAGAATGGTTCGTAAATTGATCACTTTCTGTTTATCCCCTCATTACAAGTCTTACTACCCATCCCGAGAGAAGTCTGATAGTCCCACGTTTTACAGAACAGGAGCCAGGAAGGGAGCCATGCATCACGTTTTAAATATTCCCTACAGTTAAAGGTTTGGACTCAAGATCATCATAATCTCTTGTTTCGAGGCAAGGCAGATGAAATAAATACCTGACAGTTTATTATATGGAAGCCTTTCAGATGAGGGCTTAGGAAAGTACCCATTGCACAGATGTGTTGGGCTGCCCTTTAAATAAACTGTTTCCTCACATATCAGTAATCATACATATAGATACTACTGCTACAAAAGGCAGATGTCCATGAATGGGAGCAAGGTGAGATTGAACTCTGAAGATCCATAGTTGTTTTTGTACAAGGAGCTGCTCATTGCCAAAACATACGTCCCTGCTGCCTACAACGTGCCCGTAGGTTTCTGCACTCCACCCAGCAGTGACAGCCCAGGTTTTCTGAAACCCGTTCAATCAAAAGAAACTATGTAAAATTAAGAAATGTATTCTGTTTACTCAAAACCAAACCAAAACAAGGAAACCAGCAAAAATGTTTTGCAGTTGTTGTTAGGAGTTATTTCAAGAATATTTCAAGAAGTCTTAGAAATGACCTTGAATAGCCTCCAATGTGTATATTTTGCCATTCCATGCAAATGCCTGTTCAATTATATTTTGCCTTTAAAAAGCTCCCTTAACAAATGTGTCCTTCTGGCACATCAGTCAGCGTAGCTGCACTGCAGGCTGGAGCACTACAGCAGCTGATGACAGTTTGTGGCTATGGCCTATAAATTTTGTGCTGGGATTCACACTGAAATGTTACCCTTGAGTCTCTGAATTAGCTCTTAACCTAAGGACACAGTTTTTATCCATACTTCTTTCAAGAGCACTGCTATGATTTGCTGTGATGATGCAGGCTCTTCCTCCATACTCCCTTTACTTCTTTACTGGGTGTTCTCTGTACCAGTTTCTGGGTGATGCCCATTTGTTTAACTGTGAATTTTACCTCCAGGTACCCAGTCGAACAGCAGCTGCAGCGTAGGAGGATCCATGACTATTCTGCCCAACAGAAATGAACTTTCCAGTACGGACATCACTGTGTTGAACATGCTGAACAGGAGGGACAGCAATACTAGTACAATCAGTTCAGCCTACCTGAGCAGCCGCAGGTCCTCTGGAATCTCACCTTGCTTCTCCAGCCGGAGGTCCAGCGACGCCTCCCAGGTGGAGGGAAGACCGCAGAACGTGAGTGTTGCAGACTCCTATGACCCCATCTCGACAGATGCCTCCCGGCGCTCCAGTGAAGCGAGCCAGTGTGATGACCTGCCAAGCCTTCTCAGCCTCACCCCAGCCCAGCAATACAGGCTGAAAGCTAAATATGCAGCAGCTACTGGTGGACCCCCACCAACTCCACTGCCTAACATGGAGAGGATGAGCCTCAAAACAAGGATGGCACTCTTGGGTGACTGCAGGGAGTCCGGAGTATCTCCACTGCCTCCAGTGAATGCCCCTCGAAGATGTAGTGATGGTGGGGCAAATGGTTACAGCAGGAGGCATTTTCTGTCTCACGATGCTCTAGGAAACGGGACGAGGAGAGCCAGTGATCCAGTAAGAATAGCCTCTGACAACCTCTCTGTCCCTAGAGTCCAACGTTTCAACAGTCTTAATAGCTTTAACCCTCCGGCTTTGCCTCCATCCATGGAAAAGCGCAACCTTGTTCTTCAGAACTATACCCGTTCTGAGGGTGGCGTCTTCCGTGGCTTCAGCTCCCCCTGTCCTCCAAGCATCAGCGAGAACGTTGCCCTCGAGGCTGCAACAATGGAAGCGGGTGGCAGTCTGAATGATGAGGATCTCCTGCCAGATGACGTGGTTCAGTATCTGAATTCCCAGAACCAGGGCATGTACGACCACTTGTTGAACAATGTCCTAGACAGCAACAAAATGCATCACAGCTCCATGTTAGGAAACAACAACCCCGGCAACTTTGACCAAGCCCCTCCACCAAGCAGTCAGCAGGCCGGTTCTGAGGCAAACAAGAGCGACTTGCCCATTCAGTGGAATGAAGTAAGCTCAGGAAGTTCTGACTTATCTCCTTCGAAACTGAAATGCGGTCAGCGCTCTGCGGTGCAGCAGACTCGGGCCTTCGGACTGGCAGAACGGCTATCAGAATCTGGTGGAGAACAACGGTTCCTACAGTTTACAGCAAAACACAGTTCTTGGCAGCGGAGCCGGTAATTCTTTCAGCGTGCAGCCCAATAAGCCTTACAGTGAAAGCATCAGCAGGCAAGTGATGATGTCTGGGGCAATGGACAATTCCTGTGGCGTGGCAGTTCAAGGGCAAAAGCTGAGAAGCAGCAACATGGGAACAGTAAGTGGGAACCAGCAAAATTTCGGGCATCCCATGGCATCCAGCGATCAAGCCACCAGTATGGCAAATGGGATGCAGAACAGGAATATGATGGAACAGGAATATTTGCAAAACCAACCAGTTGGGGATGGCGTTCATTACCAGGGAGTGAATCAATCCGGTCAAATGATGCTAGGGCAAGTTAGTCCTACCTCACAAAGCAGCCTGTATCAAGGGCCGCAGAGTTGTCCACCAGTGTCTCACACCATTGGTAGCCAGCCTTCAGGTTTGTTGGTGGCCAAAAGTTACCAGCCGTGCTCTAATTACAGCGGCAACAGACGTCAAAACATGTTGAGAAACAACCTGGCACAACAGCAAGGACACGTAAGTGATGGCAACCAGACGTACAGGGTAAACACCATTAAGATGGAGATGCAAGGTCAATCACAGCAGTTCTGCTCTAACGTGCAGAATTACTCTGGTCAGTTATATGACCAAACCACGGGCTTTAGCCACCAAGCTATGAAAACAGGTTCTTTCTTTGGTTCGGAAGCTAACTGCCTGCTGCAGGGGACTGCGACTGCAAACTCATCAGAGCTTCTTTCCCCGGGGGCTAACCAAGTGTCGAGCACAGTTGACAGCATTGACAGCAACAGCCTAGAGGGTGTGCAGATTGATTTTGATGCTATCATAGATGATGGGGACCACGTCAGCTTAATTTCGGGAGCCCTGAGCCCGAGTATCATTCAGAATCTCTCCCGCAATTCCTCACGCCTCACCACTCCCCGAGCGTCTCTTACATTCCCAGCTATGCCCGTAAGCACAACCAACATGGCTATTGGGGACATGAGCTCTTTGTTGACCTCACTTGCAGAAGAAAGCAAGTTTCTTGCTGTTATGCAATAGACATAAAAAAAAAAAAAAACAAACAACAAAAAACCCTTAGGAGATAACAGATGAAAAAAAAAGACTCATATTTTTTAGTTGTGTATGTATTTTAGCAATCTCATCTCACCTAAATGGGATGTGTTTCAAGTATATTCCTTTTATGGAATAAGGACTCTGAAAACCCTAAAGTGTTCTAGGGAGAAACTGTCTTCCATTTCAGTTTTGAATCAGTATTGCTACACCCATTCCCCCCCTCTCTCTTTTCTCTTTCTCCCCCCTTTTTGAATGTCTGTATGCTTCCTTTCCCTCCCTTTTTTTTTAAATTGTAAACCAATGTAAACGTGTGAAGTGCATGTTTTTGTTTTCTTTTGGTTGGTTTTTTTTTTTTTAAAGAAAGGTCTGATGAAATGACTTTGCAATTTTCTGTTACTCAGAAGAAACTAGACCTTGTAAAGCTGTTGCAGCTTTTCCCCTTAAACATATAGGCACAAAATAACCAGGCACAATGTGAAGTGAGCATAGAGGGATGAAATCCTCTCTGGATGCTTTGGATACATGGCACTGAAGAGGACAACCAGTTTAGAAATGCACTGCCATGGTACCCCTAGGCTGTAGTTTCGGAGTACAAGAAATTAGGAGGTTCAAGCAAATAAGAAATATAAAACCATAAGCCCTTTGACCCCTAGCAAATTTTTAAGGTTTATGTAAACACACACACAGATCATTGCCACCGCCTTGCATAATGAGAGCGAGATTGTGTCATATTTAATCCATTTCAGAGGAAGGAGAGGACCAGAAAGCTATTTTTAGTCCAACTCTCATCTTTTGCAGTATTTGGTGTTCTGGTTTTCGGCCTTGTTTTTTAAATGACTGGATAGTAAAATTACAGAAATATTGGGTGATTTGGGTAGTCTGTAATCCCTTCATTGCATACTACATTTGTGGAGAGATGGTCAGGGTCTTACGGAGTATTTCATACAATGAAATAACAAAATTGCAGTATTCCATACTGGGGACTTTTTTTTTTTTTAAATGCAAATTGTTGAGATGTAATTTGCTGAGACACTGGTTCTTATTCACAGTAACAATTCCTTTGCCAGGAGAACTTGTCTTGTACATCCCTTTTAGCACATACAGCTTCATGGATGGATCATACGTTTTAAAATAAGTAAAACACTCATCGAGGTAACACACAGTTACGGCTTCAAAAGCATCATCGTCATGGCATGTAAAACAAGCAGAAAACGAATGGCCCAGTTCTCAGACTAACCAAATAAATCAAAGTGATTGCAAGCAATCTGATAATCTTATATGGTTTTCCACTGCATCCAGGCTTTACAAAATCAAGAAATTTAAACTGCCGTTAAAAATGGCAAAGAAACAAGCGGAACAGCAAGTATGTCTGGTAACGAGTCAAAACTCAAAAAGACCAACCCAGCCTCTCTCTCTTGGTGACACCAATGTGCGTTTCATTTCAAAGCAAACCAGTGGGTCAATGCCCAGGCTCGGTTACGCCAGCAAAAATTGGAACTAACGCACTGTGGTCGTGCAGCTACTCACCAGTAGAGGTGAATGGCACGTGCCCCGTAAGTGCTAGCTCTTCTGGCATGTTTTTTTGCTGCGCTGTGCTCCATGGCTGCACCCCTAAACACGCAGTGCTCCTGGGTAAACAGGTTGGGATGGAGAACAGTTACAAGACCAAGGTTTAAGTTCACCCACTCCTAGAAGCTGCGTGCAAGTCCAGCCCTTGCAGGCTTCTCTGTTAAATCCTGGTAGTAAAATGCTGCTACGGGATGTAGATGGTGCAGGCACTTACAGTCAGGGATTTGATGTCTATAAGGAGCTGGTGTTAGAGTAGACATACAATGAGAAGGGGAAGTGTGGTGAGTTTTGAAATACAGATAAACTGTAGCCCAGTCAAAATTAGGAGTAGCACCAAAAGGTGATTTCTATAGACTAGCAGGCCAATAGCACACATTCTTTTTGACTGTAAAAAAAGGTGAAATACCAGCTGATTCAGGGCATGGCATTTGAGGAATGTGTAGCAATACAACCTCAGTGAAACTGCTGGATAACATTGATCTATTAACAGCTGTTAGAATCAGAGGAAGAGGCTGTAAATCAGTAGGAAAACATTATAGGAATCCAGTGCTGGGGCCATATTTGGGCTTATCACAGCATGTATCAAGCGATTTGCACTGTGAGCTGGGATGTCAGAAATCAAGACAGATCTAAAAGATCCTACCACTTTTATCATCACCCAGTTCCCCTCTTTCTCCATATCTTTAGCAAGCATTTCTTCCTTTGTCTCACGTGCGCATCTTCCCCCATCCTGCTCTTTTTGCCCTTTTGCCGGTTCCCCTCCCGACCTCCCTGCTCATGACCAGCTATCACAACCCTCCTGCAGTGGTCCCGGGGCTACATGGGGAATTGAGCACAGCTCTCCATGGCAGACAGTTGGTTTGCTGTTGCGACGTGGCAAAGCTGCTCCCTCTTGCACCCTCTCCTTGCCCGCAGGCAGCCCTGTTGAGACCCCCTGCCTGTGGGCAGCCCTTGCCCCTGCCCTGCTGCCAGGGCGAGGAGGGACGCCTGCAGCCGGGCAGGTCACCGGGGGAGGAGGGATGCTTTGGTGGCTGCGCTGAACGTGGCAGTGCTACAATACAGCTCGCACCCCTCTGGAGAAACAGCGGCGCATGCATGAGGAAAGGCTGTGCTGGACGGGTTTCAGATGGTTCTCGGTAACCAATCGCTGGCTGTTTATTAAGCCATCAATTACATGTTTATAAACAATTTCAGCAGGGAGACTTATGACCAGCTTGGGAGTAGGTGGCTTGGGAGAGAAGCCTTTTATTGTTATAGAGCCAATACATTAAAAAAAAACCCAACCAAAACCTATTTTTTTTAAACTCAATTTTCCAGTTCATAATTGTATTTGCTGGTCGAATTGACGCTGGGAAGCTATTAACAGATGTGATCCATCAGAGCTTAGAAGGAGCCATTCATATTGCTCAAGGCTAAAAGGGACTGTTTGAGTAGCTAATTTGCCTTCCTGGATTTGACAAACCTTCGTCACTCACTTACCCCTGTCTTGGGCCAACAACGTGTCTTGGCCGAAACCACATGCTCCAGAAAGGCATCTCGGTTTGATTTTGCAAAGTTGGAGAACCAGAGACTCCACCGTGTCCCCAGGGAGCTTGTGCAAATGGTTTATCGTTTTCACAATGAAGCGTATGTGCCACTCATGTTCATGTGTCACTTTTCAGCTTTCATTATCTTCTCGTGCTTTTCTGGTTTGTGCTAAAGAGCCTTTTTTGGTACCCGTGAGGGTAGCAATACATCGTAGCCCAGCTACCTTGGGGTTTGGTTTGGTTTTGGTAAGGTAGACTGGGCTCTCTGAGTGTGGCACTGTTAGGCTGGACACCAGCTTTCACTTGTCAACCTCCTTCTCAATGTGTGGCAGTCTGGGGAAGGTCCCACCAACATTGCTCACAGGTTTACTGGCACCCCTCTACTCCTGCTCTTCCAGTTACGGAGCCAAAGCTTGCTTTTGAGTATCTGGCGCATCTGTTGGCATTGCCATAGCAGCTGGAAACCCACCGCTCACCCTAGAGCCCTAGAAAATGCAGAACATATTGTGAATTTCCTATTTTTAAACCATTGTAGCCCGAGTCTAAATCACCTTTTCTTCTAATGTCTCGGGGGAGGTGGTCTTCCAAATACGTTACTGTTGGCCTTGCTCAGCCTGTGTGAAGCACGTGTATTTCTCCAGGCGGTTCTACTTTCCACGAAGTGGGAGTTGCCCCGAGAGTTCATCTGTCAGGTACACCCGCAGGGAGGAAAGGGGTTTTTGCAGAGAAGTCAGTGGGCTTCCAGAGGGGCTTTGCTGGTGAGTACGATGGCCCCGTACATCCGCATGGCAGATGATGTTATTCTCGCCTTGGAGAACAGCCCCAAATGGTACGTGCTTTAAGATGCTGGCTTGACTCGCTCGCTTCCAGTCATTGCCCCCCCTCCACCTCTTGATGAAACGGCCCCGGCCAGCTCGCCCACGCCTGTTGCGCAAGGGCTCGTCCTTCTGAACAGCCGTGTTTATATTCTCGCAATGTATGTGCCTTATTTTGTGTTGATCCTGTAAAAGAGAGGGACCAAGATGCATTGCCAAATTTTCCCGATGAGGCTGTACTCGCCATTCAGCTAATAGCACATACCACTGTTAATAGTGTCCGAAACGTCTTGTAAACCTCTGGTATTCACGTGTTATTGTCCTTGGATTGGTGGAATGTCTCCTATGGAACAGTTACTGTTGTCAGTCCTGCAGACGTGTAAGATAAAAATGTGTTCTTTTTTTTTCCGAGTTCTTTCTTTTTTAGTTTTTTTTTTATAAAGCTTGTAATCCTTTTTTTTTTAAAAAAAAAAAAAAGAAAATGTGTAAATACATTTACGTACGGTAGGAATAGTGTTCAGCTGTAACGGGCCTTAGTGGTCTTCATTTGATAAACCTGCAGTTATGATCTGATGTTTCTCGAGCCTTAGGTTGATCTGAAGGGTCTGTAGCACTGTGTACATATAAACTGTACTTCTGCTTTCAGAACCACTTAGCTCTTTTGTAACAAAGAAAAAAAAAGTGTTTCTTACAATGTCAATAAAAACACAAAAGCCTTTGTACTTAAGTTCTTAGCTTTCAGCTTTTAAAATATCTCCTTGGGGGAGGGAGTTATTTTTTTCATCTGGCTGGAGAGCCTGGTTGCAATCAGCGCGTGTATCGCTTCCACTCGTGGTTGCCTGCTTTTCTGTTTCTGCTTCCCAGCCCGTTGCTTCACTTCATTCACATTTTAAAAACTGACGGGGAAGCAAAACAGGGCGTTTACCCTCTCTCTAAAGAAAACTGGCTGAGGGGTGCCGGGTGGAGAAATAAACCAAAATGCAGTGTCACACTGATAAAATGTTTGAAAGGAGGAGAGGGATGGACGTGGTTAAATCTGCTGTGAGAGCAGTCGTTTCAAAGGGCAAAGCCAAGC